GGAGCCATAGCGCACGGAGTAACAATCCGTACTGACTGTCTGGGACTACATTTCCCATCACTGGGAGCCATAGCGCACGGAGTAACAATCCGCACTGACTGTCTGGGACTACATTTCCCATCACTGGGAGCCACAGCACCTGGAGTAACAATCCGCACTGACTGTCTGGGACTACATTTCCCATCACTGGGAGCCATAGCACCTGGGGTATCAATCCGCACTGACTGTCTGGGACTACATTTCCCATCACTGGGAGCCACAGCGCACGGAGTAACAATCCGCACTGACTGTCTGGGACTACATTTCCCATCACTGGGAGCCACAGCACCTGGAGTAACAATCCGCACTGACTGTCTGGGACTACATTTCCCATCACTGGGAGCCATAGCACATGGAGTAACAATCCGCACTGACTGTCTGGGACTACATTTCCCATCACTGGGAGCCATAGCACCTGGAGTATCAATCCGCACTGACTGTCTGGGACTACATTTCCCATCACTGAGAGCCACAGCGCACGGAGTATCAATCCGCACTGACTGTCTGAGACTACATTTCCCATCACTGAGAGCCACAGCGCACGGAGTATCAATCCGCACTGACTGACTGGGACTACATTTCCCATCACTGAGAGCCATAGCGCACGGAGTATCAATCCGCACTGACTGACTGGGACTACATTTCCCATCACTGGGAGCCATAGCGCACGGAGTAACAATCCGCACTGACTGTCTGGGACTACATTTCCCATCACTGGGAGCCATAGCACCTGGAGTATCAATCCGCACTGACTGTCTGGGACTACATTTCCCATCACTGGGAGCCATAGCGCATGGAGTAACAATCCGCACTGACTGTCTGGGACTACATTTCCCATCACTGGGAGCCATAGCACATGGAGTAACAATCCGCACTGACTGTCTGGGACTACATTTCCCATCACTGGGAGCCATAGCACATGGAGTAACAACCCGCACTGACTGTCTGGGACTACATTTCCCATCACTGGGAGCCATAGCACATGGAGTAACAATCCGCACTGACTGACTGGGACTACATTTCCCATCACTGGGAGCCATAGCACCTGGAGTATCAATCCGCACTGACTGTCTGGGACTACATTTCCCATCACTGAGAGCCACAGCGCACGGAGTATCAATCCGCACTGACTGTCTGGGACTACATTTCCCATCACTGAGAGCCACAGCGCACGGAGTATCAATCCGCACTGACTGACTGGGACTACATTTCCCATCACTGAGAGCCATTGCGCACGGAGTATCAATCCGCACTGACTGACTGGGACTACATTTCCCATCACTGGGAGCCATAGCGCACGGAGTAACAATCCGCACTGACTGTCTGGGACTACATTTCCCATCACTGGGAGCCATAGCGCACGGAGTATCAATCCGCACTGTCTGGGACTACATTTCCCATCACTGGGAGCCACAGCGCATGGAGTAACAATCCGCACTGACTGTCTGGGACTACATTTCCCATCACTGGGAGCCAGAGCACCTGGAGTATCAATCAGCACTGACTGTCTGGGACTACATTTCCCATCACTGGGAGCCACAGCGCACGGAGTATCAATCCGCACTGACTGTCTGGGACTACATTTCCCATCACTGGGAGCCATAGCGCACGGAGTAACAATCCGCACTGACTGTCTGTGACTACATTTCCCATCACTGGGAGCCATAGCGCTTGGAGTAACAATCCGCACTGACTGTCTGGGACTACATTTCCCATCACTGGGAGCCACAGCGCACGGAGTAACAATCCGCACTGACTGTCTGGGACTACATTTCCCATCACTGGGAGCCATAGTGCACGGAGTAGCAATCCACACTGACTGTCTGGGACTACATTTCCCATCACTGGGAGCCATAGCGCACGGAGTAACAATCCGCACTGACTGTCTGGGACTACATTTCCCATCACTGGGAGCCATAGCGCACGGAGTAACAATCCGCACTGACTGTCTGGGACTACATTTCCCATCACTGGGAGCCATAGCGCACGGAGTAACAATCCGCACTGACTGTCTGGGACTACATTTCCCATCACTGGGAGCCATAGCGCACGGAGTAACAATCCGCACTGACTGTCTGGGACTACATTTCCCATCACTGGGAGCCATAGCGCACGGAGTAACAATCCGCACTGACTGTCTGGGACTACATTTCCCATCACTGGGAGCCATAGCGCACGGAGTAACAATCCGCACTGACTGTCTGGGACTACATTTCCCATCACTGGGAGCCATAGCGCACGGAGTAACAATCCGCACTGACTGTCTGGGACTACATTTCCCATCACTGGGAGCCATAGCGCACGGAGTAACAATCCGCACTGACTGTCTGGGACTACATTTCCCATCACTGGGAGCCATAGCGCACGGAGTAACAATCCGCACTGACTGTCTGGGACTACATTTCCCATCACTGGGAGCCATAGCGCACGGAGTAACAATCCGCACTGACTGTCTGGGACTACATTTCCCATCACTGGGAGCCATAGCGCACGGAGTAACAATCCGCACTGACTGTCTGGGACTACATTTCCCATCACTGGGAGCCATAGCGCACGGAGTAACAATCCGCACTGACTGTCTGGGACTACATTTCCCATCACTGGGAGCCATAGCGCACGGAGTAACAATCCGCACTGACTGTCTGGGACTACATTTCCCATCACTGGGAGCCATAGCGCACGGAGTAACAATCCGCACTGACTGTCTGGGACTACATTTCCCATCACTGGGAGCCATAGCGCACGGAGTAACAATCCGCACTGACTGTCTGGGACTACATTTCCCATCACTGGGAGCCATAGCGCACGGAGTAACAATCCGCACTGACTGTCTGGGACTACATTTCCCATCACTGGGAGCCATAGCGCACGGAGTAACAATCCGCACTGACTGTCTGGGACTACATTTCCCATCACTGGGAGCCATAGCGCACGGAGTAACAATCCGCACTGACTGTCTGGGACTACATTTCCCATCACTGGGAGCCATAGCACATGGAGTATCAATCCGCACTGACTGACTGGGACTACATTTCCCATCACTGGGAGCCATAGCGCACGGAGTAACAATCCGCACTGACTGTCTGGGACTACATTTCCCATCACTGGGAGCCATAGCGCACGGAGTAACAATCCGCACTGTCTGGGGCTACATTTCCCATCACTGGGAGCCACAGCACCTGGAGTAACAATCCGCACTGACTGACTGGGACTACATTTCCCATCACTGGGAGCCACAGCACCTGGAGTAACAATCCGCACTGACTGACTGGGACTACATTTCCCATCACTGGGAGCCATAAGCGCCCGCGAGGGTAACAATCGCACTGACTGTCTGGGACTACATTTCCCATCACTGGGAGCCATGGCATACGAATCAATCCGCACTGTCTGGGACTACATTTCCCATCACTGGGAGCCACAGCGCAGGAGTAACAATCGCGCTGACTGTCTGGGACTGCATTTCCCATCACTGGGAGCCACAGCACCTGGGTATCAATCGCGCGCTGACTGGGACTACACATTTCCCATCACTGGGAGCCATAGCGCACGGAGTAACAATCCGCACTGACTGTCTGTGACTACATTTCCCATCACTGGGAGCCATAGCGCATGGAGTAACAATCCGCACTGACTGTCTGTGACTACATTTCCCATCACTGGGAGCCATAGCGCACGGAGTAACAATCCGCACTGACTGTCTGGGACTACATTTCCCATCACTGGGAGCCACAGCGCACGGAGTATCAATCCGCACTGACTGTCTGGGACTACATTTCCCATCACTGGGAGCCATAGCGCACGGAGTAACAATCCGCACTGACTGTCTGTGACTACATTTCCCATCACTGGGAGCCATAGCGCTTGGAGTAACAATCCGCACTGACTGTCTGTGACTACATTTCCCATCACTGGGAGCCATAGCGCACGGAGTAACAATCCGCACTGACTGTCTGGGACTA